CCATGTGGATCGCTTGGCGCGTTATTATGGGACCGATAATGCTCGGGACGAGCATGTCTTAGGAGAGGGCAGTGTTGCGTGAATAAGTCAACTAGCGCCATCTAGTGTCAGGAACGAGAGCGAGGGGAGCATTGAGAAAATGACATCACAAATCTTTCAACCGACAGCGCCTAGTCGAAACTCGAACGCTCGGTACCTTGCGCGTGTTTACTTGAACATTCTGGATATTTCTTTGCTAATTTAAATAAATAGGTGCTGCAAGATGCGATCGTAGCAGTATTGGAATTGGCGACACAAGCGAAGCTTCGGAGCGGAATAAAGTGAATTAGTGTGTTTAATTATTAGTGTTTTAAGTTTTAATTTGTGTAAAGTAAATTAAAGTTTTAATTTAGGTAATTTTATCGGCAATTTTTATTGTCACGAACCTCAAGCTCGTAACAGTATGTATGGGGTCCGGTTATTTAATGAGCATACATAAGACTATTGGTCCAACACGCAGAGGATATACTAAACTGCTAAAAAAAACCGTAAGGGCAAGTCATAGGTGGGGGGGATGTACCACACCCTGAGAGATCTCGCAGGCAATATTATAGTGCCGCTGGACAAAGCACAATAACTTATTAGTCTTAAACTACTTATGCTCGTTGTGAATATTATTCGACTCTTAGAACGCAACCAGGCACAGTGTGTGTAATCGCACATATGCAATGAATTTCCATTTTCAATAACATTACAATTATTAGTAGAGACTACATATAACAATTTAATACTTAAAATAAGGTATTGTACAGTTATGTTTTGTTATGGGTGACAAACGAGCACACAGTCCACCTGATCCTAAGTGGATGCTGTGGCCCATAGACATATCTACATTTATCCTCGATTAAGAATCAAAACGCAGATGCGTTGTCACCCCTGAGATGGAATGTCTCGTTTCCAGTAAAAAGGGGTAAATATTTTTTGTGTTCGTTGCCTGTGCGTGACATTGTGCAAGCAGGAAGTAAATAGAGGCGAAGCCATTTTGGCCTGTAGTCGAAATTCGTCGAAATGTGTGGGAACAAGTATTTGTTGGCATAACTTCTTTTGTGATATTTTCGTATGCAGAGAAGGCAGGAGGTTCTTAGCTCATACAGCAGTGAACATAATTAAAATGCTTTTATTTGATTGGTTATTATAGCGCTGTGTTTTGAAAAATCATTGTATTAACCTTATTATACCTGCCTTAGTGACAACCTACAAACAAGATTTTCTTTTCTATGCACTCCAGTTCTTCCAAAGTAAGCGTGATTTAAATAAGGCGACGTGTGCCAAAGAGATAAAATATAAACATGCAGCAATATGTGTAATTTACCAGCTAAAAGAGAAAACCTGAGTAAAATTGATTGTTGATGCTTGTGTGTGAGAATGTTAGTAATGGAGCGGGTTATGCTGGCGGGATGTTAACTGGAGAGCATGCAGTAGCAGTTAGATGAGCAATAAATAACACTTCTTCAGAGTTTCTTCTTATTTATTTTCTTGATGCTTTATTCTTACATTATATATATTTGGAATGTTTTACCACAAAAAAACGCCTCTTTTTATAGGCGGCTGTGACCAATCAGAATTAATAGAATTTGCACACGGCACTAATGATTCCCGTCGAACAATCAGAGCGCAGAACGACCTTCTCTAAAGGCTATTTACAAATTTCTTTAATATGTGTGGTACATACCTTACAATATTTTTATACATTCCTGACAATGGAGATAACTTATCTTTACTATTTCGAACACTAAACATTCATAAAACTCTTAATTTATGCTTGTAAAAAATAAAAATAGTGGCGCGGTCTTCCTACGGTTTAGCTCCGGAGTAGCTAAGCTTTTTCCGCTTAACATACAAGTAGCGCTGCCAGGCGGCAGGAATGCACAATGCTTATCATGATAATATTATGCTTAAGATTCTATACAGAATACGAGTATATTTTAACTTCTTATTAAATTAAAATCTATTTTTATAATGAGAAATTTGATTACAAAAGTGATTAATTGACATATTATCGTTTTAAATTACTATAAAAGAAAAAGAATCGAACAAATCATTAAATTTACACTTAAATGTTAATATCTCTAATACAGCTCTTTAAAATTATAATAAGAGAAAGTTCTAATAAGTAACTGAACTCATATTTCGTTTCCAACATTCTAATTAAACCTAAATAAGCAATTAGATTCATATTTTCGTTACAGACTTTGTTACTAACTTTCGTTACGTAGTTTTGAAATAAGAATTGAAGCTAATATAAGTAATTAATTCACTTTCTTGGTATTAACGCTACCAGTCTTTACACTTGAGAGATGAGAGACTTGACAGATCATAAATAGGAAACAATTGAGATTAAATGTTTAAATTCACTTGTCATCGCTAACACTTAGTTTTAGATCACAAATAAGAAACAATTGAGATTAAATGTTTAAATTCACTTGTCGTCGCTAACATTGATCCTTATTCCCTTGAGTTAATAAGGCTTTGATTTAAGATAATTGAAGCTAATATAAGTATTATTTCTGTCTAGTTAGTATCTGATTAGTATCTTATTTATTTATTATTTATTGCATTCCTTAAAAGAAAAGAATACAATGGGCGGACTTAATGCTTTGAGGCTTTCTCTACCAGTCGAACCAATTTTTATCATGCATTGATAATATTTTTGTTAATAACTATCTTAATTCTTTAAAGGTCGATAATATAAATAGATTATATAGATACAATTAAGAATCAATCATGATATTGTCAATATAATAACTACGAACTGGAATAGACATATATGGAATAGACATATTATCGACTCCTGTGTAACATATATCATTTACGTTCCACTAACAATTTTTTGCTTCGTATTCTAGCATCATCATCTTTTTTTCAATAAATCGTTTTCCGTTACAGCTGTACGGTTGTGGAACTCCTTGCCTTAATATATTGGACGTGCTCAGCCCCTTTTTTGTCTTCAAAAATCTACTCAAAACTTATTATTTGGAACTCTAATATTTCCTATCATAATTCCCGTCCTCAGTTGTATCTATCCCACATATCCTCTTGTGTTCATGTGTAATTTTTTAACTTCATTTTCAAAATGTACACCAGCCCTATTTGCAATTCGCTGTAAACAACAGTTGATTGCTAAACAAGGGTTGGTTAATATTTCCAATATGGACCATCGATTTCAAAGTCCATTTTTTTTTGTAGATAGTACTCACTAAAAGAAAGCGTTTTGCAAAGTTTTAGGTTGCGGAAACTTACGGTTCATGAGATAGATTTTTTTAAACTTTTCATACAAATTGGCAAATAACACGCAATTACACCAATTACAAAATAAATTTGACAAATGATTGATGTCAAACGTCAATTAGTATAGGGTTCCGAATATTTTGAAAGTATCGATACGTACTCCATACCAAGTATCGTATCAAAAGTATCAATACTACTTGGTATCGAGTTCATTTCGTTAATTTTGGAGACTAGGGGGGTAAGAAGCCGGGAAGTTGTGCTCCGGCGCTCCGTGGCAGCTCCGGCGCTGCGGGATGAGCAGTGCCTCCGCCCTAGCGTAGGGAAGCGCAGGCACCGAGATCGCCGTAGCGGCTGAGGCTGGTCGCCGACCAAAAAGCCGAAGCTGCGAAGGCGAGCTGTGGCGGGCCGGCACTGCTCACCCTCCGCGCCTCCGGGCTCTTATATACACTCTAGGGGTAGGGCAGACAAGACCACGTGGATAGTGGGGTGCTCTGATTCGGTTTTGGGTACTTTTTGGATATTAAATAAGTAAGTCAATAAGTAAGTAAACACTTTATTGTAGTAAGAATTAGATAATACAGAAAGTTGCAAACAAAAGCTGCACTAATTAAGAAATACAAACAAGTTGCAAACAATGAAATACAAGCACTAAGGTGGAACTTAAATAGTGTAAACTTTATTCTACTTTATATACATATATAATTGCACTTATCAGCTCTTCCTATGCATCTAATTGGTTTGTCATAATTTTTCGTCTCCAAAATTAACGAAATGTACTCGATACCAAGTAGTATTGATACTTTTGATACGATGCTTGGTATCGAGTAGGTATCGATACTTTCAAAATATTCGGAACCCTACACTAACTGACGTTTGACATCAATCATTTGTCAAATTTATTTTGTAATTGTGTGTTATTTACCAATTTGTATGAAAAGTTTAAAAAATATATCTCATGAACCGTAAGTTTCCGCAACCTAAAACTTTGCAAAACGCCTTCTTTTAGTGAGTACTAACTATCTACAAAAAAAATATGGGCTTTGAAATCGATGGTCCATATTGGAAATATTAGCCCAAAGGTTGTCTGGAAGAAATCGCTTCCAGAGCGATAAGACCGCCTGTTGTACTTTATATATATATATATATATATATATATTTTTATATATTTCTTCGCGTATTACTGAATATGCTCTGAATCGAGTCACTATCACAGCGACATGTAACAGGCAGAAAAAAATTAGCTACGGGGACAATCATTGTCACAGTCTCACAGTGATAAAAATAACTGCGCAACATAATTCCTAAATTATAATTTCTAAGCCTAGATATAAGTTTCCTTTCTCCTATTATAGCGGCCCGACGTCTCCGAGATGCAATGGCATAATGAGTTGCAGTCCTAAGAGCTGCGGGTTCGAATCCCGAACGGAAAAAGTATTTGTATGGGCTGTAAATAATTGTTTCTGGTCTGGATGTTCGTCCTAGTGAAATTTATGTATGTAACGGGACCCACGGGTAAGGTTTTTTTTAAATTTCTATTGAATACTAAAAAAAATCTACTTCAATTATTAAAGTTTACGTGTAAATATAATGATATTATTGACTGCTGTAACATAAATACATAAATACCACATCAAACTTTCATATTTGGTGTGTGTTTTTACCTTAACTATACGAGTAACTTTTGTTCATGGTCTTCTATAACTTTGTGTACATAGTCTTCTTTACCATTTTAGGCTTCAAGTTCAGTGAAACAAATCTCCGAGCAGCAGTATGAGGAACATAGAAAACTGCAAGAGAAATGGTACGGTTGCAACACCCGCCTCATCGCTCTGTAGATCCAGTATTACCAGCGAAAAGAAAAGGTGAAAATACGGTATTACTATATTACCAAAATATTTATTGCTTATACGAATTGTTAGTGCGTAGTTAAACTTAGTCTATTCCATTAGGTTCCAAGTTATTAGTATGTTGACTAGTTATTGACTATATACTGTCCGATTTCGGCTAACAGTTTTATTATATCTAGATATATTTAAGCATTGACTTTAGAATTTTGATGAAAAACGCTAAACTCCAGTGGATTCAACATTGTTTTTGTTTGTTTCTTACTTATTTACGGAAGATACAGATGAAATTAATACATAGTTTTTGGAATTTATTGCTGTTTATCTAACTTTTTAAATACCCGACGTTTCGAGAGCTTTACAGCACCCATGGTCACGGGAAGGACTGAGATGTTCAACGTCCAGCTGTCATAGTTAACCGCGGTTACCATAGATTAAAATTTAACTTTTGTTCCGATCTACACAGTATGAACTTATGGTATCATGGAGTCTTGCAGTTGTATGCTTGGGTTGGGATTTAATTTTATTTATTATAGGATCCCAAGCAGATGGTAGCACCCAGCCATCTTCTCTATTGAAATTAGGATGTTTTTTGATTTCAATAGCCTCGCGAATCATCCTTGGAAGGAATCGGTGTTCTTTAGCGAGGATTTGTGGTCTATCAAATCTGATGTAGTGACGGGGGCAATCCTGTACATGTTCACAGACTGCAGACTTCCCGGAGCGTCGAGAGGAGCGTGTAAAGCTCTCGAAACGTCGGGTATTTAAAAAGTTAAATAAACGCGATAAATTCCGTAAAAACTAGTGATTATTTCATTGTTTTTGTTTGTTTGTTACCTCTAGTTTAAGGAAGATAAAGATAAGATTTTATACATAATTTGAATTTTTTGCTTGTTTATCAAATTTTAGACATTTTCTATTCAATGCTCACTCACCCGTATCCAGTGCAGAATAGGCGAATGGTTTCGACTATAATTGAATTATATAGTAAATTTAGTTTCAACAAATAGTGTTTAGAATACATGAACTGGTTTCATAAAATTTAATATACCTTGAGAACTCCAAGCAGGAAAACGTAGTTTTATAACTTTATTTTCCTCGTTTTTCTTCTTTTGAAAATATTCTCTACCGTCTATGGCTCTTGTTATCTTAATGTTATACATTCTAGGTAATAAAAAATCATACTCTATGGTTTGGAAAAAAGAACTTAAGCGCCAGCGCTGAAAAATATCGGTACTTGATTTTATCCGTCACATTTTAATAACACAGTATTGTATTCGTATTTTTGTATACTACAGTAATTCCATACTGTAGCTTTAACAATTCTAGAGTAAATAAAATTCATCATCATCTTATTTAACTGAAATATGCTGTTTATCTGACGTGTGTAAAAATTAACTAATTAGTTCTCATATTGCACACCATCATTTCGATATTATTAATTATAAAGTATTAAAATCGAACATTTCGTTCGTTCAATCATATTTCGATTATTATATTCGAAGACCATAAATAGAATTCTATTTATAGTAATAACTTCTTGCCAAAATAATTTATCTCAATGAATTTAATAATGAATAAAGTGAATATTGTTTGTTTGTTTGTTAATGTGCTAAACTTTACTTTTTACTTGACTATACAGTGGTCGTGCTGATTACAATAGTAATCCACTGTAAAATAATCACAAATTTAGATGTTCCTGAAACAAAATGATTAGAAATAAATATGTTAACTAATTTGTGATCTACCTTTATTAATATGTAAAAGCTTTTCTTTAAATATAATTTAAATAAAAAAGGACTTTTTTCGAAGGAAAGGTTTTTGTTTATTAAATATGATTAACCGTTGACTATAATGTTACCCTGTTTCATATTTAAAATAAAATAAAAATACCTTTTAGTTGATATTTTAAAGCTTTTTCTTATTTTAAATTGGATATGTAATCCACGCGATCATTTACATTTTTTTATAAAGCAGAACCACTGCAGGGTTAAATGAACATAGTATCTTTGACAGACGCACCACCCATACTGTGTTTATTTTAGCTTGAGATATTATGTTACCTTTACAGCCTATTTAAGTCCACTGCTGAACATACATCTCTTTTATATATATATATATATTATTAGTAGATGTCTATGGGCCACAGTAACCACTTACTAACAGGTGGACTGTGTGCTCGTTTGTCATTCTTTTTCTATAGAAAAAACTCAGTTTTTTATTGTCTAGGTGTTATTAGGAAGTCGCTACTGCTCATATGCTGATTTGTTTTTCTCCGTCACCTCTTACAACAGACACGAGACGATTTGTGTAGTGAATATTCGTACACCGCTACTACTCAGTGAATGCTTACATAAAATCTCATGCTAAATAAACAGAGCTGAACTATTAGATAAGCTAATCATAAAAACCGGCCAAGAGCGTGTCGGGCCACGCTCAGTGTAGGGTTCCGTATTTTTTTGGGGTTATTATGTTCGCGCTCCAGCAGCTCTCCGCGCTCCTGCAACTGCTCCCGGTAGTGGGTACTGTTGTTTCCATCCAAGTTCAAAATGATTTTCCTAGAAAGTCCTTATAAAGTTCTACTTTTCAGTTTTTTTTTTCATATTTTCTAAACTTATGGTTCAAAAGTTAGAGGGGGAGTCCGAAATTATTGACATTATCAAAAAATGATTTTAGTAAACCCCTATTCATTTTTAAATACCTTTCCAACAATATATCACACGTTAGGGTTGAAATTAAAAAAAATCACTTCCCACTTTACATATAGGGGGGCTACCCTAATAAAACATTTTTTTTTCCAATTTTTATTTTACCACTTTGTCGGCGTGATTGATACACATATTGGTACCAAATTTCAGCTTTCTAGTGCTAACGGTCATAGAGATTAAGCGAGGACGGACAGACGGACAAACAGACATGGCGAAACTATAAGGGTTCCTAGTTCACTACGGAACCCTAAAAATATACATTAAATTGAAAAAACCAATCACCGACTACAGTATTCTAGTGTTCGTTTTTCGCCATATTTATTTGTATTTGTAACTTTTTACTCTATAAGTTAAAGATATTTTAACTGATTCAGTCCGAGTGACCAAAAAAATTGATATATTAAAATACACATAATTTTCGTACTACAAAATTCAAAGAGGAATGGGACTAGTCTGCCGCCATTTTGTGAAGGCATTGCTGTTAAAGTAACGTTAGTAGAACTGAGTGTGGTATACAAAAAAAGAAAATACATATAAACTAAAAAAGGATGTATAACTATTATTTTATTATACGTGGTAGAGCCACGCTGCAGCTATATTATGTTTGTAGCACGAATGGGCCGGCTCGACCGGGGAAGGACCACGCTCTCACAGAATACCAGCGTAAAATAGAAGCTTGATGCTGCTGTGTTTCGTATGGTTAACACTACTCAAATGAGTGAAGATAATCAACGACCGGTTCCATTTGCATTGTATACTTAATTCTTATGGTTCATTGTATTAAAATAATTAGGTATTATCATTATATAACGCAATCGTGTTAGTAGTATGGCATATATAGAAAGTTATAGTAGCCTTAAATTAAAAAGTCAATATGTACCGTAATTAATTAAAATAAATTCATAAATTATTATGATTAAAACCCTTAGTACTTTCGATACAATGTAGACGTAACATTAGTTTTTCTTAAATATATGTACACAATGTGAAATGTTTTCTAACAGACCTAAAAGTTTAATAGTTCCATCCAAATTGAGTTCGGCAAAAGACTGACTTGAATCAATAAATTGTCCATTGCTTGAATCAAGTCTCCCGTGTCTGATGTTAGGCGTTACGTTTGTTAAGAGGATAGAGTAAGTCAGCTCAAATTCTAATTTCGCCCCCACTTCCCCGCGCGTCGTATGCTATGTACCGACATGTTTGTAATCAATAATACTGTAAGTAGATAGATCGTTATATACTTATTTCATTAGGTTTATCATATTTATGCCTGTTTCTTAACGCCAACCCAGTCGCTTCTTATTTTTATGACGGTTATTTCCCATTTTAATTTTACGTCGTCCTGTTGCGTAATTTGTATTCTGATCGTAAGCGACACAAATTCTCCCTTCAAAAGCCGGAGCGATACTAACTGGGCGACAAGAATCAAGCTTACGCGCCGATAGTTTAGGTAATTTCTTTTTTACAGTGAAAATAATGGTATTTAAAAAAAAGTAAATAACATAAGCACTGCTTTATAGTTAGTTCAGTTAGTATGCAAAGTTTCATGATCTTATTTAAAGTATTTTATGAATAACAGCGGTTTATTGTTCAGTTTGGAGGTAACTTTGGATTTTTTTTCTATCGAGAAAATTTTACGGAATCGTGTTTTCGTCTAACATAGTCCTTAACATTAATCCTCAACTTTACCATATATTTATTTCAAAATTAATGCTGCAATACTTTCGGCATAACGGAGGATTTTGCTAAGCCATTTGAGATTATATTTCCCCTTAAGTAGATTGTTGACCGCAGTTTCAGATACTCGGCTTTTAAAAATTAAGGGGGTTTATTCAGTCATTGATAGGAAACTACAAATTTTTATCTGGCATATTACCTTTACTTTAGAAAACCTTTCGGACCTTAACCGAAAAAAGAGAAGTGATAGTTTTTTCCGACACGTTCGACTAATATACTAATAATAGGCGCCATAAAATGTTACAAATATATTCAATACATTCATAATTTAAGAATTTGTACCACGAAGTATTTACTTTAATAATGCAATTGTACTTTATTTATATGGAACGTAATTTAAATATTAAAAATTAGTACCTCAATACTTATTACATATTTAAAGTAGTAGAAAGCTTTTGTTCAATATATATACATATTATATAATAAAGTATTATTTTATAACAGCCGGCATTAATTGTATTGATATTACAAAACTACAATATGTTCGTTTTATCTAAGAACTATGCCTTTGAACTCTTTTAGAGATTTTACGCGAAAATTTCAGAT